ATGGAAGCTGGTGGCGGGGGCTCCGGCGAGGAGGCGGAGGCCGTCCGCGTGATGCAGGGATTCGGCGGCGTCGTAGGTGGGCGGCGATGGCGCTGGTCCTACGAGCTGAGCTTGGTAGCGCGCGGGCATGGTTGATGCCCAACGGCGGATGGGCTTCGGGAAGCTGCCGATGGTGGCGACGGTTGAAGGAGGAAGGTGGAGATGGGCTGATTAGTACTACAAGAACTATATGTATAAGAAGTTCTTTGAAAAATAAATAAATTGAACTACGACCCGAAATTCCTTTTGCACGTAGGGAGTAATAAAATTAGATCCGTGACATGAATACACAAGAACAAAAAATGAAGGCAAGAAAAATATGAATCCAGCTGAACGGAATGTGTTCGTTCTCGCAGCACATGGTTATAAGATGTGCCTGCAACCTCGAGAGAATGGTGTGCAGAGAAGGGGATTAATAAAGTTGTTTCCCGAGGTGTGCATGAATGATCACGTGAAGGAATCCTAGTGAACAACAATTTAGGCTCTGTTTGATTTCAAATAAGTCACCAACTTATAAGTCGAAAAGTGTAAAAAGTGACTTATTTTGCCAAACGGACCCAACTTATAAGTCACCCCAACTTATAAGTCATAAGTTGCTCCACCCCAACTTAAAACTTATAAGTCACCCCTTTTGCATGGGTCCCACCACCTTTACATAAAAAAATAAGGTAGAAAGGTATGCTAAGGTAACTTATAAATCAGGTGGTAACCAAACAGGCGTGACTTATAAGTCACTGATTTTAAGTCACCTGACTTATAAGTCAGGTGACTTATTGGAACCAAACAGGCCCTTATAAACACCTAGATAAACTTGATATTAGCAAATATTCTAGTAATATAAATCTACACAGGAGTGGAATCCCTATACCATCTACTCCCTCCGTCCCATAATATAAAAATATTTTTTAAACGTTCTTATATTATGGGACGGAGGCAGTCCATAATATAAGAACATTTTTTACACTAATATTATGGGATGGAGGGAGTAATTTTTTAATCTTTAAAGAACATCTATTTCAACGAATGCATCTCACTGAAGCTCTAGGTAAGAATATCCCAACATCTTTTAGAGATCATATGCCATACCATGCCCAATTCTAACGTCATTGCCACTATTTCCAAGTATGAAACACTTTTGCTTATTTATTAATTATTTCAATCTAAGATAATATAATCACAAACAAAACCTAAGACTGAAAATTCAGCTATGAAAAAAGATTCAAAGATCATATACTAATGAAACTTACATCTAAGACGGACCTCCGTTGGTCCATGGCATGTCTGTCCAGTTCAGCGACACCATTTTAAGCACCAAGGGCAGTTCTATCTCCTCGGCTGCCCGACAAGTGGACATGACACCAGTGCTCACGCTAAATGGATGACTCCATTCCTTGGCGTATTGAGCCGCAAAAAAGGATCAATAGAGAGAGGAAGGGAGGGAGAGGGACCTGCTGATTGAACAAGCACTGTCGGGGTAGGTCCAGTCGTGTCATCAGGGCCGGTGTCAGTGCATGGAGCACTTTCTCTTCCACCTGATCAAGTTCAGAACCAACATCATCTCCTAGAAGCAGAAAAAAAACTGAAGAGGCTGTTATATGTACATAATGTTTTTTTTCAAGATAAAAGCTTTAGACCTTAATATGCATATCTCATTCCTTGATATTTTCGGAAATCCGCATCTTACATTGATAAAATATTATAGCACATGGAAAAAGTTCACATCTAACATAATTTTACATAAGGCAGCCTTAGGAGCATCACTAACCAGGTAATGGTGGCATCAGAGATCAAAAAGAGTACATTATCTTAGCCCAATCGATTCCATTTGTAAGCATCCAATAGATAATGCTCTCAACCACCCCAGTCCAGTGCAAAGGGATGGACAAATAAGCACATTCATGTTAAATAAAAGAAGCACTGGCTATTGTAATATATATAGGAACCCTATTGCAGCAAATCAACTCAATATCTTAACTCCACATTTAACAACAGAAATTGTAGAAATACACTGGCTTTAGTTATGCATCTTATTAGGTTATAAGAGTCTTAAGAAACCCTCCTATATCTTTTAGAGATTAAAAGAAAATGTGACTAAATTAAATATGGAAATAGTGGCATAATTAGTTCGAGTCTCAACTATCCAAAGCATTATTGTATTATGAGAGAAACCAACAAACATGAGGACTGATAATCCAACAGTTGCTGGAATCATAGTAATTTGTTGTCAAGAAATAAAATCAACATTAAAGGACAAAACGAAGGAAGGCATAAATCATCTTATATTAGTTTTATGTCCTTCTGCTTCAAATGGAAGATATTTTCAAAGCCATAAAGACCAATATTGTTTCTGCCATTAATTCCTTCATACCTCCGCCCAAGCCGTATCTTCCCTTCATACATGACCAGTGAACTGGTGTAGCCAGAAGACAGTGACTAGGAATGATGCTAGCAAAATGACAAAAAAATATGATGAGCGTAGAACACAACACATCAAGCCATGTTGTGCACTCATGGCTATGTTTGTATAACATTTGACAAACAAAAGAGGTAACTAGAATGCATGAAGAACAATTCAATAAATAGACTCATAAATAAGAAATCTGAAAAGAGAAAATCATCTATGTCTCCATAGCGCACATAATTAACATCATGTATAATGCATTCAGATGCATCCAAGAACAAACAACACAAAATCATTCTTAGTAATTGATTAATGTATACTTGAATATAACAATAGCCAATCACATCTCTACAATCGTGTGTAAATAGCATTGTCAAATCAATGTATCGAAGCCACTGCTTATATGTACTAACATTGTAAGGTTGTGTAGAAAAACACATAGAAAAAGAACCGAAGAAAGAAGAGCATAGATGACTTTCGGCTACCTTCAATAGGAAAGGCATAATGTTGGCATTTATCATTATCATCTTCATCAGGATCAATGGCGTGGAACTCTCTGATTATCCTCAACTTTCTCTAGACCAACAAAACAATAAAGTAAATAAAAATATAGAATCAAACTCCATATTAATTTGCAGTATCTAAATCAGGCACACATATGAAAGTTTAAGGAAAAACAAGGCAATGGGATTAACCTGTGACATCCCCATTCAACATTCATTTATACTGTTAGGAATGCCATAGACCACTTCTAGCAATATTAGCAATGCAAGAATAGAAAGATTGCATCAGAACAGATTCATAATCTAATTGTTGTTGAATGCATAATTAGGTAAAAGGTGAAGAGATGGTTCTCATGGATGAGCCTGTGGCACACCATTTCCTTTGCAAAAGAAATAAGCACTATTTTAGGCATTTGTTTTACCATGCAATTATATTTTAGTCCAATCTAGTTAGGTACGAAATCAAACTCAACTATTTTAGCCTAAAAAGGAAAACAGATTATGAGAGGCTATTAATATCTACATCTCGTCTACCAAAACATACACGTGACCACTATTAGCAAATTGGACAGAGATAGAGAGGGGAGAGAAAGGGAGGGAGAGAGAGAGGGGGAGAGAGGGGGAGGGAGAGAGAGAGATCTTTTGAGAGGAAACAACATGTCAAGTTGGAGCTATCGAAATCAACATACATAGCTAGGCGAGGACACCGGAGAAAGACTAACGCCGTCACATGCGATGCGCTGGCACCTAGTCGTGCTCTTGCTCCTCACCAACATCTAATGGCGGTTGGTGTTTGGATTAAAAACCCTAGCGCAACGGGCACATCGAGCACGATGGATCAGGGGACTTGGTATGGAAGAGCGCCCGAATGAGCGAAGGAGAAGCCGGAGGAGCTAGATTTGGCAACCATAGCGTTTTGGGATGACGCATCAACAAAGACGTAAAGGCGGAGAACTTGCCTGCTCTTCTTCGCCTTAGTCCACTAACAGAAGCGATGGGGGGAACGGGAGCTCAGGGCAACAAATAGGAAGGAGATGGAGCGGTGGCGGCGGGACGGGGAGGGAGTAGAGCAATGTCACAAAGAAAGGGGAGGAAGATAGTGTGTTTGGGAAGGGAAGAGAGCAAGCAAGAGGGGACCCCTGGGTGGGGCGGCGGCTAGGGTTTAGCACGGGGAGCTGCTGCTTTTTTTATATCTCAAAAAGGACAAAACTATCCCGGTGGGGGCATGGAATTTACGAAAGGGTGCAACTGAAATTTTATCACACGACTGAGAACGATCTAGTAAATATCCGACGGCTCACACAAGATCAGCCCGAGATGGGCCGGCCCACGTCGCGTTGCGATTTCGATCGAACGACCCAGAATTGGTGGCGGCTAGGTTTTAGCACAGAGAGCTGCTGCCCTTTTTATGTCTCAAAAATGACGAAACTACCCCGGTGGGGGCATGGATTTTACGAAAGGGTGCAACTGGACGACTGAGAATGATCTGGTAAATATCCGACGGCTCACACGAGATTAGGCCGAGATGGGTTGGCCTGCTCGCGTTGCGATTTCGATCGAACGACCCAGAATCGGTGGCGGCTAGGGTTTAGCACGGGGAGCTGCTGCCTTTTTCATTTCTCAAAAGTGACGAAACTACCCTGATGGGGGCATTGAATTTACGAAAGGGCGCAACTAAAATTTTATCACAGGACTGAGAACGATCTGGTAAATATCCGATGGCTCACACGAGATCGGCCTGAGATGGGCTGGCCCGCTCGCCGCGATTTCGATCAAACGACCCAGAATCAGTGGCGGCTAGGGTCTAGCACGGGGAGCTGCTGCCTTTTTTATGTCTAAAAAATAATGAAACTACCCCGATGGGGGCATGGAATTTACGAAAGGGTGCAACTGAATTTTTATCGGACGATTGAGAACAATCTAGTAATATCCGATGACTCACATGAGATCGGCCCCAGATGGACTGGCCGCTCGCGCTGCGATTTTGATCGAACGACCCAGAATCGGTGGCGGCTAGGGTTTAACACGGGGAGTTGCTGCCTTTTTATGTCTCAAAAATGACGACACTACCCTGGTGGGGGCATGGAATTTACGAAAGGGTGCAACTGAAATTTTATTGGACGACTGAGAACGATCTGGTAAATATCTGACGGCTCACACGAGATCAGGCCGAGATGGGTTAGCCCGCTCGCGCTGCAGTTTTGATCGAACGACCCCAAATCAGTGGCGGCTAGGGTTTGCAAGGGGAGCTGCCGCCTTTTTATATCTTAAAAATGACGAAACTACCCCGGTGGGGGCATGGAATTTACAAAAGGGTGCAACTGAAATTTTATCACACGACTGAGAATGATCTAGTAAATATCCAACGGTTCACATGAGATCAGCCCGAGATGGGTCGGCCTAGGTTGCGCTGCGATTTCGATTAAAGGACTCAGAATCGGTGGCGGCTACGGTTTAGCACAGGGAGCTGCGGCCTTTTTTATGTCTCAAAAATGACGAAACTACCCTAGTGGGGGCGTGGAATTTACGAAAGGGTGCAACTGAAATTTATCGGACGACTGAGAACGATCTGGTAAATATCTGACGGCTCACACAAGATCAAGCCGAGATGGGTTGGCCCGCTTGCGCTGCGATTTCGCTCGAGCTACCCAGAATCGGTGGCGGCTAGGGTCTAGCAAGGGGAGCTGCTGCCTTTTTCATTTCTCAAAAGTGACAAAACTAACTCAATGGGGGCATCGAATTTACGAAATGGCGCAGCTAAAATTTTATCACACGACTGAGAATGATCTGATAAATATCCGACGGCTCACACGAGATCAGCCCGAGATGGGCCGGCCCGTATCGCGCTGCCATTTTGATCGAACGACCCCAACCCAAGCCAAACCAAACCACCCAAAAAAGAAAAAAGAAAAAGAAAAAGAGGGAAAAAAGGGCGCAAAACCGCAGCGCACCAAAAAGTCTACCCACCCCCTGCCCCAGCACGCCCCCCGGCACACGCGATACCCACCCGCAACGCCCCTGCCGCGAACAGAGCGGAGGAAGAAAAAAAAAACAGAGCGCAGACGCCCCGCCCCGCCCCGCCGCGCAATGGGCAAGCAGCAGCCGCCGCCGCGGCCGGCGGCGATGTCGGCGCCTCCCCCGGCCCGCCGGAAGCGGAAGAAGAAGGGCCGGCCCTCCCTCCTCGACCTCCAGAAGCGCAGCCTCCGCCTGCAGAAGCTGCAGGAGGCGCCGCCGCCGCCGCCGCCGCCCCCGCCCCCGCAGCAGCGCCGCCCCTCCACGCGCCGCAACCCCGCCCCGGAGGACGACTCGGGCGACGACGACCCCCGCCGCGAGAAGAAGCTCCGCCTCGTCGTCGGCCTCCACGACGGATCGGCCAAGGTTTGCGCCCCGATCTGCGCCCTCCCCGCCCGAATCCGCGCGGAATTCGCCCAATTCGCCACGGCCGGCGCGCGGATCTGCGCCGCCCGAGGCGCCCTCCCTGCTATCCCAGGCGCGGAAAGGGCCTCCCTCTCTCTCTCTCTGCCCGCGCCCCCCTATTTATTTTACCGCCCCTTCCCCACCCCTCTGCCGCCGCGACAGTGGTCAACGGCGCCCGCCTCAGCCCTCGCTCCGCCAATCATTCGGCGGATAAACCAAAACCCTGGCTCGCTCGCTCGCATCCCTCGGCAATAATTGGCGCCATTTCTTTTATGCATCGGAGCTTTTAAAGGCGTGCCTTTTTTTGGCCTGGTTTCCCCCTGCCTTTCGCGCCAAATATTTTCCCCGGCGACGGCATAGGATCTCTCTCAGTGCTTGCTCGGTAACTGCCACTTTATCTGGCGCCTTTTTCCGCCCCGGGTCTCTAGATTTTCTCCCAAGGATTTCTGTGTGGATATTTTTAAAATGTGTCTACTATCTTCTTTATTTATCTTTTGCTGCCGCTGCTGCTGCAGGGAGAAAAGAGGAGGACAGCGACGGATGGGCGTGAAGGTCGGTTCTCCCCTGCCTGCTCTCCTCCGATGCATTTATTCTTCTTCAGGTTTCCGGAACCAAAAATAATAACACTGGGCGACGAATGTGCACGAACAAAGATGCCATTTTTAATTCCTGTACTCGTGGATGCACTCCAGTTTGTTTCCTGTTTAATTAATTAATGCTGATTGTTGCTCCTGTGCTCGTGTGTGGATTTGTTCATTTGCACAGAGCCGTCAGATTCCGGCCCCACGACCCCTCTGCCTGACAAAAAGTTATTGGTCTTCATCCTTGATAGGCTGCAGAAGTGAGTTGCTATATCCTCTCTGCTTTTCTTCTTCTTCTTCTTCTTCTTCTTCTTCTTCCCTTCCAGTTTCAGTAGCATCTTATCTGAGGCCGGTTTCCCTGTTTTTGCGCAGGAAGGACACATACGGCGTTTTCTCGGAGCCGGTTGATGATGAAGAGGTTTGTGTTACAGGACTGTATGTTTGTTTCTTGGTATTGTTTTCTGGCAGGCTGATTGATTTGCTTGTGATTGCCAATGTACTGTCAGCTGCCCGACTACAGAGATATCGTCAAGCACCCCATGGATTTTTTGACAGTTAGGAAGAAGCTTGATAAGGGGGCATATGCCAACCTGGAGCAATTTGAGGTCAGGGTGGAATCTTTTTTATTTTTGGGGTCATGCTGTTTGACCTTTTCTGGTTTATAATATAATCAGCTGTTACCGCAATTTGGTTGACTTAGTTGCTCGTCCCAGCTAGATTAGTCATCAACTCTGTGAGGCTAATGTGCTTTTCCATGCTCATGTTCTTCTTTCTAACACAAGGCCTCACATTTATGTTCGATATTCTTATAGGTCAGTAGTCAGTTACTAAAACTGTGGCATCTTCTTGTTTGCTTGAAAATATATTCTGTACTGTTGCCTTTGGACTCTTGTATCATGTTTTGCTGCGCCTTTTTTAGGAACAGATATTCATTCTCTTGGATCCTCTTCAAAGGACTCGAAACTAGTGCAAATGCATAAATGGAAACCTGAGAGTTTTGCTTCTAAATAATGTTTCTGACAATGTTCCATGTGATCAATATCTTCATAACTCAAGTACTCTTAAGGGAAGATAGAACTATATAAAACGCAACACTTTTCAAGACCGGTACAGTAAATACAGTTTAATTTGTAAATACAATTAACAAGTTTCTTTCAATGGAAAACTGAAATCTATAGTAAGTGAAGAGAAGCACTTATGCTCGTAGGTGTTACTGTTATTGATTCCATTACAGGATTATGAATAGCGCTGTGTAAGTTTTTATATTTAATGAATATCTGCTGCTGTTGCTTTTCTGTATCTGCATATCCACTTATGTCAAAGGTTGTGTAAGTAATTTGGGTACTAAGAAGTCATGTAAGGTATGTAATATTGTATATAGTTCCATAAGGATAACTAGCAACACAAGTAGAAAGAAAAGTGCATGTAATAAAAATAAACTATGAGCTACTCTTAGAAAGTGCTTGTTAGACAGGAAAACCTGTAAATATGTAATTTTTCTAATGGAAATAATGCTCTCATAATTTTCTATGAAATAAAAGCATTTTCATTCATTCGAGTCAAGATGAAATGACGCTTTGTTTAGAAAAAAACACCAGTGCGTGGATGCTTGTGCAATGTTCACTACGCAGTTCCATTTTCTACTGCATATATAAAAATCTTGTACATGCACTGCTTATGTTACTTACGGTCAAACAAGTAGAATAAGATAAATAACAAGTACTTAAAAAATGGAATGCTTGTACCTGTGACCTGTTATGAAGTTTGTTGTAGCAGTACTCAGCAACAAGGTGTGTTGGACTTTAGATTGAAGTTGTCAGTTGTTTGTTATGTATGAGAATGATCATTTTTACTTCTAGAGCTGGTATGTTATGCTCTCTGTGCCACCATTTCTACTTGATGTAATTACTTGTCTGCTACCACCTCTCTAATCACTTAAAAAATATTGGATCTATGTATGCTATAAGCCTGTAACCAGCATCACCTATCTGCATTTTCACTGAACATTCGATTTAGTCTTACCTCAGACCACTAACATCATTTCCTTTACCTTGTTTTATGACATACTTTCTTTTAAACCATGGCCTTGGTCATGCAAGTCACACGCCAAGAACAAGTAGAACTTTGACTCGCTGTTGAATCCTGGGTGTGCTAATACTTAATTTATAATCAATGGTTAACTAAGCTCAGAATATTATTTGTATTCTACTAAGCTCATTCAAAATGACATAGATTTCCTATTTACAGGACGATGTGTTTCTGATAACCTCGAACGCCATGTCCTACAATTCACCAGACACAGTATACTATCGACAGGTTAAACCTTGAACCTACTTGTTTGATGATTAATTCTATGATGTATTTTTTTTGTTAACCCATGAGATGCAGTGCAAATGTAACATTCACATGTGATGCATTATAGGCACGATCTATTCAAGAGGTTGCTAAGAAGGACTTTGAGAATCTTCGGCAAGATAGTGATGCCAGTGAACCAGAACCAGAACCATTACCAGAACCGGAACCAAAACCACAGCGTCGAAGGGGCAGGCCTCCAAAGAACGCTGTCAAGCAGCAAGTTGAGCAGCCACCAGCAGAACGTGCTACCGCAAACTTTTCTGCGGCGGCACTTGCTATGGCTGGAAATAGTGGACTTTATGCGCACTCAGGGTTTGATATACAGCGGAGAATTGCAGATGTACTGAAAGCTTCTTTTGCCAATAGAAGCAATGAACACAATTGGTCCAGTGAGCGCAAATTGGAAAGCATTGAAGATTATTCAGGTTCCTTTTATCATTTTGAGAACTCAATTTTCTTAGAGGGATGTTGCCCAAGAATGTCTTCCATCCAGATTTGGCCAATCTGTTTACCCCTTTAACATCATTTGGTGCCTTACCTTTGTCTCAGGGTCTGGGAGTAAATGGTCAGGAAAAATGGGGAAGAAGCCACTTCTGGTAGAAGAGAGTCGCCGAACTACATATTATCAGAATCAACCATCCAGTTCAATGTATGAGCTGCCAGTGGCAACCTCATACAATGGGACAAGGAAGGTTCTTGTACCAGTTGAGTGTCCAATACAAGTCTCCTCCCCTAATGATTTATGACATGTCAATAAAGTTTTAGGTTTCTGTTGACTTTGCTGAACAGCAAGATGATATCACTCTCGGTTTAACACAATGATTTTTTTTATCAGATTGGTGCTCAGTTGCCACAGGCCTATTCCCGCAGTCTGGCACGTTTTGCTGCACAGCTTGGTCCTGTTGCTTGGGAAGTTGCATCGAAGCGAATTGAACAGGTCATTCCCCCTGGAATAACATTTGGTCGTGGGTGGGTAGGAGATGGCGAATCACCAAACTCATTTCAGCCACCTGTACCGACTTCATCTCCGATACCAACACCACCACCAAGCAGCACAGCGGCATCGAGTGAGCAGAAAACTGTAGATGATCCTGCAAGCGCAGGCCATTCAACAGGGCCTCATGCAGATGCTGTGTCACATGCGTTTGCCAATAACGCTCAGAGGATAGATTCTCAGGCAGTACCAAACCCGCAATGCGGATCGTTGCCACAGGTTCTAGTAGACCGAGGTGAACATTCTGTTGAGCTGAAGAGCAGCCATAATGTTGAAGAACGGCCCACCATGCACCAAACTGTGAATGGTTTTAATGCTGTGCCAGGTGCTTACCCTGACTGTTGGTTTGCCTCATTTTCTACATCCCCTGTTCCTTGCACTTCAAAAGATTAGTAACTCACTCTTAACATTGGTTGGTCTTTGCAGGGTCAATCATGTTCGCACCTACCGCGCAGCTGGTCGCGAACCGGATGCAGACGCATATGGCCGATTGATAGGGACCGAAGCTCGACATGGATAATTTGACATTTGGACGCATGATTCCGGCCACGGTTTCGCGGGCACCAAGCAAGGACTTTGCTGAATCATACTGTGCTCATTGATTTTTTTTCGAGTCGCTGTTGCTGTGCCGCACCGTGGCCTGGGACCTCCATTGTTTTCTTTTTTCCGAGAGTGGGTATCTCCATTGTTCGTTGTCTGTGGTGTAATTGCTTAGTTACTTAGGAGTTAGAATAGCATGCAGATTGCAGAGATATGTGTGTAGAGGGTATTAACAGCGTAATTAAGTCGAGTTCAGAGATTCAAAAAAGTTATGATGTTGTAGAAACCACAGGGGAGCCAATCTGTATATTTTATATTTACTGCTGTGGTATTGTTGCCACATTTGGTCATGGTCTGTCCAAAGAAAAGAAAAACTTAATTTGCTACTCCCTCTATCCCGAAATATAAGACATTTTTTGATACTATGATAGTGTCAAAAACCGTCTTACATTTTGGGACGAAGGGAGTAACAAACTTTCAGGTTGGTGATATGATACACTTTCAGTCTGAAATAGGATGACACATGCAGAGATTGATACGATCTTCCGGGCTAAAATAGGTCACACATGCAGAGAGTGATATGATATGCTTTCAGCCTGAAATTGGTCACACAAGGAGTCATAGCTTGTTTGGTTCATAGACACACTGTTTTGGAATGTTCTAGCAGCATGTTCAACCTGTCATATGCACATACTTTATTTTTTTTCATGGTAATTTGTGTCTTATTCCTATCATAAAGGTCAAGATACAAGTCAGGAAGACCAACAAAAATAAAAGGACAACAGAACACTAACCTTGCACAAAGGACCACCAGTTAAGAAGAGAAGTTACAATGAAAACCAAATAATCTCCTAAGGTTGACACTTGTCACACTGGTAGCTTTCAATTGGTTCACCGCACTTTTAGCAAAAATTACAAAGAGCATCTCAATTATTATTTTTGAACACGATACAATCGAAGTTGCTCACATACACGAGCATACACCCATTCATATGAACACACGCATGCACATCCTACTCCTATGAGCACCTCCGAGAGACTGAGCCAACATATCATCTTGATATTTTACGAAGTCATCACAGACGCCTCACAGTCGACGGGAATGTCTCCGCCCACTGAACAAACATCACCGGAAGCTTGAAATAAATTCAGGAATAATATAAGCACCAATGTCAAGTCTAAGACGTGAACCCTGGTGGGTTAGGGATACCACCGTCCTCTTAACCATCCAACCACAGGTTGGTTCGCAAGAGCATCGCAAAGATGATAAGTAAAAAAGCCAGTGCAATGGACGGCTAGACGGAAACCAACCAATATAAAAACTAAAATTATATTCAAAATCATAATAGCCTTCTTTGTCCTCCAATTATGCACCGTCCGCTAGTTGTTAAAAAAATGCACTGAACCAACAATAAAGAAAAGAGACACCCGCAAATGCCCTCGCCATACTAGGTTGGAGCATAACCACATATAATATAGGCTTGCAATTGATCACCACTGGTCTAGAGAGTTGGAGAAACCAAACCATGCCACATAACAACAAGATGTCGGAGTCGTTGAACCAATAGTCAACCACATGACCTCTTTGATAGACACACAAACTGCCAAGATCCAAGAGAGCCAACGGATCTGGCGATAAGAACTTTGTGTTGGATATGTTAGCAGTTTTCTAATTAATTTTATGCATAAATAAATCATGATCATAGCAAAAGCAGTGTTAATATCATATTGGTATTTACACATCTGAGCACATACGAAGTAATAGCTCCGTTCGAGAATATAAGGTGTATCAATTTTTGTGCAAGTCAAACATCTGCATATTTGACCAAGATTATAGAATGAAAAATCAACATCTGCAATATCTAATAGAGAAAATATGAAAATATTTTTCATGATTAATCAAATGATATAAATTTGATATTAAAGATATTGATATTTTTAGAAACTTGGTCAAACTTGCACATGATTGACTTTTGAAAAATTAATACACCTCATATTTTACAACGGGGGAGTATAGAACAGGAAAAAAACAAAAAGTATGCCTAACACATGAACCAATAAATAAAAGATGAACATATCATACCCTCCAGTTGGCCACGACAAAGCCGCTGCAGCGACTGCAACATTTTCCTCATCCTCTTCATCATGGTGTTGGCGTTGGTGGGTAGGTCGAGTAAGCAGTTGAAGTAGTGAGGCGTTGAGTTAGGTCCACGATCGAGTCAGTAGCAGTCAACAATTTGACGGTTCAGACATGGCTGTTACACAACGCTTTCGTGAATAACCCGTAATCAGTTACCAATTAATTATTTATAACCGGCAAAAGTACTGCACATATGACACAGATTTGAGCATGACACATATCATTAACGAAACATGACATGCACGAAGGCGTGGCAGGCAGCAGAGGAGGACGGCGCGTGTACCATCTCTCTTCTCATGCTCTAATAGCATGTTGAAGAGAATCTCTTATATGTGGGTATCAACTCTCCTTCAAATCCAAGGTGATACTAAACTTACCACCTTCGCACGAAGCCCCACATGAGCCTTTGACATTTTTTGGGAACTATGTACATACTCTATCCATCTCTTTTTAGTCTACATATAAGATTTGGTCAAAGTCAAACTTTGTAAAGTTTGACCAACTTGTTTGAAAAAATATCAACATCTACAATACTAAAACTATATGGTATGAGAATTAATTTCATCATGCATCTAACTATATTGATCTCATATTATGAATCTTGATATTTCTTATATAAACTTAATCAAAGTTGACAAAGTTTGACTTTGATCAAATCTTATATGCAGACTAAAAAGAAACGAATAGGGTACCTACAAGTAAAACATGATGCATTTCTCTGATTTTTTAGACCATCAATCCTTCGTCCATTACTTGAGGTGATACTAATAATTTGGTAATCAATTCACAGTCCAAAAAAAAAAAAATGGAAACGGTTCACCAAAGCCATCCGACCTACTCAGTTGGGCCATGCCCATGGTTCGTAGCGGCCCACCGAAGCCCGCCCAACAGCACAATCGAGAGGGTTTGTATATATTTAGTCCCATCTCATCCGATTTATCTATGGCCCAACGCGTGTCTATAATTCAATACTCACATGCCCATCGTCGGATCGGATCCGGCGTCGTCAAGGTAGGAAGAGGTTGGGGTGACCTTATTCCAACACGGCATCATCAACATCTTGTCGATACCGTCAGGCAAAGAAAACATCAGAAAACGAAAAAGAAAACGGACATGTGCCCATTCCTCTCGCCGCCGACGAGGCCTCTTTGTGTCGTGTCACAACCTATCTTTCCCTAATAATAAAGAGTCTAATGCTTCTGGTGATACGTCATACAAACTGCCCCGAAGTTGTCAATATTTACCCACCACGTCACCGGTAAGTGAAAATTTTCGCTTCACAAATCATCGTCGGATTTCGGTTATTTATAGAGGCAAGCTCTTCTTATACCACAAACATTCCAGTAGTGCAATGGCTTGAGCGTCCTCCCTCCATCTAGGAGACAATTTCTGTTGGCGTAGGATACAATTGCCTCGCCCAAGCGTGGCTTAGCTCATGGTTGCAAGGTTGCAATTTCGTCCCAGCTACTCTATTTTAAACTCTTCTTTTCACAGATTTAAATGTTTTAAAACATATCTTTCAAACCATAACTTCAAAATAAACATGCTATATATGGAAATCCCTCAAAAAATGTGTAGATTTCAAATATGTTGTTATCCTGCATGTTAATTATTTCTAAAATTATGTCTAAGATGCACCCTTAACTAATACTTTTCTTTATATGGTATATTTTGAAAATGCCTATTGTATCTATACCTACTTTAATAACTATTAAAGTAAAAAGTATTTCTGCCCATGATTTTTCTAAAAATTGGATGTTTTAAAAAATGTTAATGAAATTGTATAGTTTTTCCAATTTAAAAAATGTTCATGAATGGATACAATTGCCTCGCCCAAGCCTGTATTTCCTTACCAATTGCTGTTGGCGTAGGATACAATTGCCTCGCCCAAGCGTGACTTAGCTAATGGTTGCAATGTTGCAATTTCGTCCCAGCTACTCTATTTTAAACTTTTTTTTTCACAGATTCAAATGCTTTAAAAAATATCTTTCAAACCATAACTTCAAAATAAACATGCTATATGTGGAAATCCCTCAAAAAAATGTGTAGATTTCAAATATGATATTATCTTGCATGCTAATACTTTCTTTATATGGTATATTTTGAAAATGCCTATTGTATCTATACCTACTTTATAACTATTAAAGTAAAAGGTATTTCTGCCTCTGATTTTTTTTAAAAATTGGATTTTTTTATAAAAATGTTGAAATTGTATAATTTTTTCCCAATTTAATTTTCTTTTCTTGAATGGATACAATTGCCTCGCCCAAGCTGTATTTCCTTGCCAATTGCTGTTGGCATAGGATACAATTGCCTCGCCCAAGCGTGACTTAGCTCATGGTTGCAATGTTGCAATTTCGTCCCAGCTACTCCATTTTAAACTTTTTTTTTCACAGATTCAAATGCTTTAAAAAATATCTTTCAAACCATAACTTCAAAATAAACATGATATATATGGAAATCCCTCCAAAAAATGTGTAGATTTCAAATATGCTTTTATCTTGCATGTTAATTATTTCTAAAATTATGTTTAAGATGCACCCTTAACTAATACTTTTCTTTATATGGTATATTTTGAAAATGCCTATTGTATCTATACCTACTTTAATTATTAAAGTAAAAAAGTGTTTCTGCCCATGATTTTTTTAAATTCGATGTTTTAAAAAAATGTGAAATAAATTGTATAAATGTTTTCCAATTTTAAAATGTTCATGAATGGAAAAAATATCCAAATAATTCAAAAACTATTCGTGACTTAGAAAATAGTTTACTCATAAATGTTCATTGATTCAAAAAATTGTCATGCATTTGAAA